TTGTGTCCAAACTGTTGATTCTCTGATTTGTGTTGACGATTTCAACGGTTCTGTTAAATCCTATGAGATGACTGCTGTTGTGATTTTTGAATCCTGGGTGTTGGCGCTTTAGTTTATGTGGCAGAACATTATATGTGTATAAAAATAGAAAACGAGAACTGAAGAAGTTGTTGCATGTTCTCTTGAACTACTCTTTCTACAACACAGAGACTCACTCACAGTTAACCAGCTGTTTTGTGAAATGGATGTTAACCTGGAGTGAATAATGTTCACGTTCACGCACAAGAGCACCATCCGTGGGAACTACAGAGACTACTCTGTAACAATACAATTCAATGACTATAACCACAACATCAGTACTTCTGTGGCATTGAGAAAGTCCCCCCTCCACCCAGAGGAGGACCACGACCGGTTGCTCAAACAAAGAGAGACTTACAGGATCTATACACTTCAGACCCTATCCAAAAGACCTGAATGACAAATTCAATTGAGCATATTTATGTAAAAAAAAAAGTCATGTATTTTCAAGAGGTTTTTGAAAGGTTTTCCTGAGATGTTTTTTTGGACATGGTGTATACATTTCTTGACATGTTAATATGCGTAAATGGTGAAATGTATAAAGTACACTGATGTTTTATCGTTGCCTGGTGACAATTCGTACCGTATAAATTCAGATCTTCCAGTTGTTCTAGTTTTTACTTAAATGTGTGTGTGTGTGCATACAAACACACACTCTGTATTTTTGACCAGTTTTTGGGCTGTCTCCACCTATTGGTTCATGTGATTTATTGTGAAATGCTCTGTGAGTGTGGTGACTGTACACTCTTGGGTGTCTGCCCCACTCTATTTAAAATGACTTCCTGGTGCTCCTTTCATATTTGCTTGATGAAGGCGAAACGCAGAAATGTTGCACTCCCAACATGTCCTTTTTATTTTGCAAGTAAGACAGTGTGCGGGAATCATTCTCTCTACTTACCATTTTGCTCAAAATGTAATAGTGATTATTTGCTCTAAACAATATCTCCACAAACTCAAAGTAAACACCGGATTTCTTCATTTGTCTTTGACAAATATTTTGTTTACATTTAAATTGAAATTGGAGTCGGCCCTCCTCAATAGGCAGTATCCCAATGCGGCCTCTTGAAGACAATAATGTAAAGTGTTTATCATAGACTGTAGACCCATGTATTGGATCTGTATTACAGACTTGTGTTGTTGTCCCACAGTTCTTAGGGAAACAATGTCATATAACATTATTTTAGTTTCTTGTGTCTATCAGCTCGACCAGCACTGCTAGTGCAATGCAGGTTACGCAGATCATCACTAAGAAGAGAAAAGCTAGACATATCTGCGAGACATTATTGTCCGTGCCCCCCAGGTCAAACAGGTGGATCCAGGGAGCGTTATGCCTCCGTTTGTGTTTTAGATCTGTTTCCTGGCACCCATAGTGACTGCCAAGAAAATCAGATAGTATATCTTTAGTTAAAGATTGGTTGGCCTGAAGCCCTCGTCCAGATAAAGTATATCTATTCAAGATTTACAGAAATAATATATTAGTGGTAGGCCCTGGTTTAATCCTGGTTCAACTCATGTTTTTGTTGTTTTCGAGTGTCTCCATCTTCCCGTTTGGACCGGCATGTGTCCCTGTGACCACCAAAACTATATATTTATGGTGGGCAATCATTGAATGCCCACTTCATAAATGGAGAACCTGTCAGTGATTCAGAGATTTTACCTGATAAAAAGGTGTGTGCATTCAAAGCCTCCCTCCTGCGCTGGAGAAGCCTCATAGTACATAGATATAAATAACTATCTGACTCGCAAGGACGAGCTAAACTTGCTAACAAAACTTGCTAACGACTATAAAGAAGGTAACTTAATTTTAGCACTTTGTTCTACCACTCTACATTTATGCTAACTTCCCCAACCCCTTTATATATTAATTGATTTAAATTATATATTTGTGTTTTACTTCTATTATTGTTTCCCTTTTTAAATCACACCAGCTTATTATAAAATAAAAATACAGTTTTCTTTTTCAGGAAAAGCATTTAGCTATTTTGCTTCTCAAAATGCTTGGGTGAAGGAGGTTTTCTACCATGAAGTTTCAAAAGATTCCAAGATATGCTTCTTGAAATGTGACTGCACGCCATCACAACGAGTCAACAATGTTCCACACAATTTATGGGTGTGTTTTGGGAAAGCAAGTGGTACCATATACAGTGCTTATTGCACCTGCTTTGCTGGGTAAGTATGAAGTTGTTGTGTGTGTATATTTTTTATCCAGTTTAAGTGCAGAAAATTAGGTCTACAGAACATTTTTTATTTATGTTTCTTGTTGGATTAAGTCTGTATTTCTTTTTCAGACTGGGTTCAACATGCAACCATGTCGCTGCATTGTTGTTTAAAGTAGACTATGCCTGGCAGCACGGATTAACCAGTGCACACAAGAAGGCATGTACCTCCATGGAAAATCAGTGGCTCACACCTGTGCTGAAGAGCATCGAACCAATGAAGCTTGAGGACATGGTTTTTGCAAAACCACATTATACACCCAAAAGGCGAGATGTGAAGCAGGGGTATGCTGTTCGCAAACTATTCTCGGTAAACCGCAGCACACGCCAAGAACCTGCAATGTCATTAGATGAATTTGCTGCAGTCCTCATGCCAGAATGCCCCTCTGCTGTGGCCTTTCAGTATGCCCTTCCTGATGCCCAACCCACTTATGAAGTTTATGATGACATAAATGTTTGCTTAAGTGAAATGTGCATCACGTCAGTTAACCCCCCACCTACTTTAACCAAAGTTGCAGAAAAGTACACGACAGCCGAGGAGTTGTGGAGCAACCTACCACAGTATTCCACTGAGGAGGTATCAAGCCTCGAGGCAGCAACAAGGGAGCAGGCTGTCTCAGAACTGTGGAAACAGCATAGAAATGGCCGAATAACAGCATCAAAGGCTCATCATGTGTGGAAGAGAATGAAAACTCAGGATGCTGAAAAAGGTTGTCATTCACTGGTATCTTCCATTACTGGAAAGGCCTTTGTAAATCCCAACATACCAGCACTCAAGTACGGAAGGGTGAATGAGCCATTTGCTGTGACAGCTTATATGTCATCACAAAAAGCATCCCACTCAAATCTTAAAGTCACACAGTGTGGGTTATTTGTGATGCAAGACCACGTATTTGCAGCTGCTTCCCCGGATCGTTTAGTGTCATGCTCCTGCTGCGGAGAAGGACTTCTAGAAGTGAAGTGTCCTTTCTCTGCTGCCAATCAGCCAGCAAATGTGAAGCATGTCACTTATTTGGAGATTGATAATGGAAAGACACATCTTAAGCATATGCATGAATATTATTCCCAGGTGCAGTATCAAATGGGAGTCACAAAACGACTTTGGTGTGATTTTTTTGTGTACACCAAGTCGGACTGCTTTGTAGAACGAATCCTGTTTGATGAGACTCATTGGTTGGAATTACTAACTTCAGCGACAGACTTCTTCAAAACCTATATCTGTGATGCACTTGTGAATAAAGTTGAGTAACAAAGAAATGACCTGGAGAAATACATTTATTTGCACAACATTTCATTTAGTGTTTTAATGCAAGGCAGAGAAAATGTAATGTTCCCGTTAACGGAAAAAAAAGAGGATGTTTTAATAATTCAAATTATTTACAAACAAATGTGGCCACTGACATTTTCTTATTGTATAACCTTACTCTTAGGTTTTTATTTAACAGTACAGTGTAAAGAATAGGAAACATGTTCATTTCTTCTGTGAAAGCAACTGCACAATGTGAAAGTAACAAAGTCATTTAAATATTCATAAATATTGACTATGAGCTTTTGACAGTCATCAGAAAACTGTAAACCAAAAAAGATGGTGTGTAAATGATGTCTCTACTGTGAAGACTTTACATTAAGATTTACACTATTAGAGGTGGCAACAAATTACAAAGCGCTGCACAAATGATCAAGATATCATCAAATAAGTGAGCCATTGTTACTGGCAGTGTTGTGCTCAAAATTTGAAACCATTTTAGTCTGTTGATGGCTCGTTCTACGTGAATACGAACATTTGCCACTTTTTTGGTCTGGGCAACATTTTGTGAGCACATTTGTTCCAAACCTGAACTGGGTGGTGGAATTACTAATTTTGCCATTTTGAAAAGTAGATCTTCTTGAATTGGAAAACCACGGTCTGCCATGATAAGATCATGTGGGTCTACCAAATCTAAAAATCCTGACTGTTGGACAATTTGCCTGTCTGTTGTCCGGCCTCCCCATGCTTTAGACATAAATGATATGTGACCGTTTGGTGCAATACCAACTAAATATTTCATGGTATTATGTTTCTTGTAGTCAGACCATGTAGCTGCTTGCAGCTTTAGATCTCTGGGCCTGTCAATGAAAGTCTCACTACAGTCCAGTATGCACCTCAGGTTGGGATATTTCTCCTGAAGACTAGCTGGTAGCATAGTGCGGATTGAGTTTTTGTCTGGCCAAAAAACAAGCCAACAGAGCTGAGCACCAAGGAACTTAATCCATGTAGTTATTATGTTGGAGCAAGACGACGCACCAATAGAAAATATGCTGGCCAAAAATTCATTTGTTAGACCTAGTCTAAGCTTCATCAAAACCATAAGGAACTCTGACTTTATGTTAAGTTTGCGTCCAGGTCCTGACTTTTGTGGTGTTTGAACAAATTTTCTAACTTTAGTAGAAATAACTCTTCGAGTTCCACCCCAGTACCTCATTTTTGCTGCTCTTGGGGTGAGGACCTGAAGCAGCTTGTTAAAGGTTCCTTTGTTAGGGAGACCGGTGTTTAGTTTTACAGACCGGTCGTCTGAAAGAAATCGGTCTGTGAAGTACCTTTTGTTGTCAGCATTAGCACTAATTGTATTGTTCATCATATCAGCTAGACTAGTGCCACTACAAGAACTTTCATTTGCTTTTATCCCTAACATTTTTAGTTCATTTTCCAATTGAATTACTTTATTACTAAGCCTAGTAATAGTGTCACAGTTACAGTTTGACTTACAGTTACATTTATTTGTCTTCATGTAAGTATGGTCCACATGGGCTTGAATTGTCGTTACATCAGTTCCAGGGTCATTTCCAGGGTCACTTCCACTGGTTTTGGGGGTATCTTCCTTGCTTGTGCCTCGATTCTGTGCATCTTCTGTGCTGGGGCCTGGAAGAATGTAATAAATGAATAGTATTATACAATCTGTTCAAACACACACACAAATTGTGTTAACAGATTGGGAGTAATCAGTATATTTAAATTTTTGTACTCTGGATGTTGAGTTTCTGCCTCTTCGATGCTCGGACTGTAACAGGTGTCCGTGGTTTTGGTGGTGCCCGTTTCTTTCCTGTACTAGTTGATGGCACTGGGTATCCTGAAAATAAAAAAGTATATTTTGCATGTAAATAATATAGAGAGATTTGTGTAAGCTCATTTTTTTTACGGATGGAAACTAGCTATTTAGCTATAATCTGGTGCAGTGCATCTCTGTCTCTCTGAGCTTAATGTTTCTGTACATTGTCCCTTCAATAAAGATTAAAGTATTTTTATTTATAATTTATGAAGGTGTAAAAATACCACTACATTGCAAAAGGTTCTGCCACATTACCTAGATTCAGTGTAGGGTTTGGAAAGGAGCGGGATGGTGCACCATCAGCAAAATGCATGGAGCAGACTCGGCTGTTCTTGTCTGGTGCCCAGTTTTTACCTGTTTTTATGTTCTTTCTGTTCATCTGGAAAAAATAAATAAATAAAATGATAGAATTAATGAAAGGGTAATACAAATTAGGCTGTGTATGTATGCCAGCTTACATCTATAATATACTTTAAAATGTTTGTTTCAAACATATCCTTGTTAAATGATAATATATCCATGCCAGATTGTATACTTTATAAGTTAAACAAAACACACTTTAATTCAGGGACTTTCAGAAAGTCAAACCAAAGTTCTGATATTTGACATAAAATATAGTAATGATCCTGGGGGGATCGGGCATATTGTGGCGAGAAAGAAAAGGACGCAAACAAACCCCGAAACCTGCTGGGTGAGAGACACCTCTCTAACATGTACACCACAATATAATATTTATATACTAGTTAGCTTTAATGTACAGTATATGTCAAACTTACTAATTTAATCCATGCGACACGACGTTCTGGATCTTTTCTTTCAGTAGGAAATGGGATGAGTACGTATGGCGGGTCGCATATACAACGTGAGGTTCCTTTATTGCACTCGTGAACAGGGCAAAACTCTTTCATCCACTTATTAATCCCACGTGTACCGTTGGAACAGCCAAGCACTGAACAATGGGACCCTGGCATATTGCCTTAAAACGACCTTAAGCAAAGTAAATGCCTAAAAGTCCGTATAAGTAGCCGGTTGTTCCGCTAGACAGTGGCTTTGTTGACACGCTGGGCAGTCGTGAACTCTGACCCGGATATATTGACCCGGGAACCGCGCATGCGTACTGATAATGCTGATTTGGCTTATACAGTACACTTGCACTAGAATACACAGTACAATTGCCTCTTATTTTGCCAAATGTAAAACTTTTACACTTCTTTTTATTATTATTTTCAAGATAGAGATTTTATACTTTTATTGATGTTAGAGTTAGAGATTTTGTTTTATTTTTATTAGTATAGCTATTGTTCACTTGACTTGTGCCGTGTGCTCCTCTTTCCTACTGTTCTATAACTTGTGGTGCAACACTGAAATTTCCCCTCTGTGGGACGAATAAAGGATCTCTTAATCTTATTCTTATCTCTTAATCTTTATCTCACAAACACAGCATAAGAGCTGGATTATTTTACCAAAATGTACCCTCTATGTCATTCAGTCATGAGAGTAAGTAATTTATTATTATTCCAGTTCATAAAAAACACGTACATGTAAATTAGAACATTTTAATATAACGTCATATTGTCAGAAAGTGGTGGAAAAACTAAATACTATACTTAAGTAAAAGTAAAGATAGGTCTAAAAAGGTGAAGTAGAAGTAATACAATCATAAAATGTGTGTGTGCCTCTGACACATCAAAACAACACTCTACAGTACCCTTGTAGAAATGTTTCACACTGGCAGAAAATATGACACACATGAAATTAAAACATGTAGAACTTAAGTGCGTCTCACCAAAATGCAGAAGTGTTAACCTTGGCTAACACCCTGTTTTGGGGCGTCATCTGCAAAGTAATCTAACTATCTTTACAACAAAAAGTCTTTACATTTCAATTCCGAACGAAGTAGTAAAATAATTAAACATTGTTGTCATTACAATAAATGGTCACGTTAAGTGTTAACACTATAAAATAACAGCAGATCAACAACATTACATTACTAATAACATAAATAGTTGCTTTTCCTCTCTGCGCTCTGATAATAATGCCCTTATACCAGTCACATCATCAGCGCCTCCGGGACCAACACTCCCTCTGGCGGTGACAGCGACTACTGCAGCCTCGCATTCTTGGCTCCACTCTCTGAGGCGCAGGCAGAAAAGCAGGGGGAGAAAATGAATTAACCGCGATCGCAAGTGTAAGAGACGAGGTGCGGGAGGTTCACTCTACTATACTTTCACCGTCATAGTTAATTGGTCCAGCGGGATGGAGAGGTGCAGTTAAGGGCGGCTCCATTAAGTCTTAGACAAAGTATAGAGCTTTTAATTGGCAGTTTGATGCTGGCCTGGGGTACAAAGTCTGCAAAGGCACAACAGCATTATAAAAGAAGTCCAAAACAAAGCATTGGGAGTCTTGGCACTTCTGCACTTCCTGTTGCGTAACGAGGATATTCAAATGATCAATTGAAATGGCTGACCTGTTTGCACGGTGGTCTGGCGCTTGACCTACGCAAACGCAACCATCCAACTTTAAACTATACCCTTTTGCATACAGAGCAAACAGACTATAACTCATGCAACTGTACAAACAGCTCCTTAAAAGAAACCTGTCCATCTCCAAAGTGCGATGCCCGCGGTTCATCAGTGTGTGTATCTCAGTATGCCGTGTCTCCTCCTCCTCCTTCTTCCATCTCTTCTCCTCTCTCTCCGTTTCACAGACAGGGGCGGTCGTTCTCAGTCTGCGCACATATTCCACTTGGCCACAATCACTCGGAGTCCACAGACACAGCGCTGATTGAAGCAGCGCAGGAAAAGGGGAGGCTCGTATTCAGAGCGCATGATTGTGTTATACTCGGGGTTCCACTTTAGTGCTCTGATTCGGGTCCGAGACTGGGGAACACAGAGGCAACAAAGACAGGAAGATCCAGCTCGTTCTAACTGTCTTAAGTTGAGTTTATTTTTTTTGTTATCTCGGGGAAAAAGAAAGAGAGACAAGTGTCCTGCGGTGGATGCTCCGTGCGTAATTGCCCAAAAAAAGTTATCCATAGAAGATGCATTGATCTTCTTCGGAGCACCACAAACTCTCTGACATTTTAAGGCAACACAACAGAGTGTATTCTGGATCAAAAGAGGATTTATAACTTTATTTTTCATCTCCGCTGTGACGGTGAGGCGAGCAGGGGAGAGGAGAGAAATCGTGTTTGGGAAAGGAGTGCGCGCGGGTTGGCGACGCACTGACCGAGAGAGAGGATCCGGGAGCACGGTACGGACCTTAACCTGTCACAGACATGCTTTGGACTCATTCTGGAGGGAGTTTTGTAAATCGTTTCACGTTCCTTTTGACTTTCACATTGTCAAAACAAGATGGACATCTAAAACTTGGCATCCAAAGAAATAATGTGAACTTCATGGAACAAAATAGGATTCAATATGGACATATATATAGCTATAAGTAAAAGTCTTGATCTGGTGTCTGCAAAGTCTATAAAGTCTGTTGGAGATAAATGAAGCAGGGACCTGATGAAGCCTTGAGAGAAGCCAGAAAAGAGCCTGATTAAAAAGTCTATTTTACAGGAATACTTTGACAGAAGTCGTCAAGTTACATCAATGAATCCAATTTATCTGATTAAAAATTGAATGATTTTCATACCCAGCCATACAAAACATGCAGTGTCGGGGAGAATACTTTCAAAATGTACTTAAAATGATCACGAGAATGCGAATACTAAAAAGTGTCTTGTAACGTGTTGCGTTACATGCTCCAATCAGAGTAGCCTATAGTGTAATTGTAATGCTTGGATTACTTGAATACTAATTTGCATAATAGCGTGTACATATTCAGCAAGTGATTGAAGCAACTTAATATTTAAACATTTTGACGAGCCATATTTTATTTTAATTAGAAAAGGACAATACTTTTTGTTTGTTTTCAGTTCAACGTCATATTCAAAATACCGCCAAAAGAAAGAGTAATATCTTCTAAGCACATTTATAAATAATTTTAATATTCTAAATATGTAACACTGCACACATGTAATCCACTCTGCACACACCTGTTGTAGAACCATGTAACTTCTATCCGTCACAATTCCACCAATCTCCGCAGTACACAGCTCCTGTTCTAAATCCTTATTCTGTGATTGAATTACCTGCCTTTTGGGTTGAGGATAAACTAAGCTGCCTGCCCAGGATAAATTGGTTTGTAATATTACTTCCAAGGCTTAAAATGATGAAATGTGCTGGCACAGAAAACATGATTCCAAACAGTACATAGTAAGTTGTTTTCTGTTTATGCCCTCTCTTAGGTTATGATGCAACTGAGCTGAACATGGAGTTATTCTGGATTTTGTTATTTTGCTGCCTTTTCTCGCATGCCTGGGCCCAAGGAGTTTACGGTAAGAAATCATATTTTCTAATGGACTTCTAATAGCACTCCACATCAAAGCTCCAACTACCTGATGGGGTTTCAGTGTTAATTTGTTCAATTATTTGCCCGTAGCCTTCATTAAAGAGCCTCTCAGTTCATGCATGAGATTCAGTGTACATGCTAATAAGAGTATCTGTAATAACTGGCATTTAAAGTAGTAGAATGGCTTCAGGGAGGATCGACAGCAAATTAACTTGAAAGGGAGGCATTAATTCTTCGAAAGTCACACAAGGAGGCTGGAAAACATCCAGAAATACAGTGAACGGGAACCCACCTAAATCTAATTCCATTCCACTCTCAGGTTCATATAAATCTTCATGGCAGAATAATGAACGCACAAGGAAAGGGAGACAAAAACAAAGTCATTGTCAGGATTTAGAAGACATCCAGGAGACACTGGCATTTCGCTGCATTCAAAAGTTTGAAAGCTAAATATTGCATTTCAGGGTTGTTGAAATTAACAGATTCTAAAACTGTAATCAAAATTAGGCCCTAATTTGAGCAAGTACAGATCATTTTATATTTTGTGAATACTTGTCGATATATCTTTCAGGTTTGAATACATTAAGATCAAAACATAAACTGGCCAACTTTTCATGAGCATTTGCTAATATGATAAAAAAACAATAAAAAAAAAACGTTTAAACCTTGTGGCCCCATGCAAATATATATATGTATTATTATAAAAAAGAAAAAAGTGAATTTATAAATATTTGCTGTGGAATCAAAGTATTAGTATCAAGTATTTGTTCTAGTATCAAAAGCGATCTTGACTACTCTAATTCCTTTCAACTAAAAATATGAATTAAATCGTTATTTGCTGCTTCTACACTTACCATCACTTTCATCAAGGTTATTATGTTTCAATTTGTTTATTGGAATCATTAAAATTCAGTGTTTAAGCCTTTATGAGTCTTGGAGAAGAAGAAAACACAACTACAAATTGCAATTGATCCATTAGAGATAAAATAATGAATTATTCACATTTAATCCTAGTTACATATGGGCTATTCTGTCCTTCATGTAAAAGATCACAATCAATAATATCGGTATTTTTTACCTGCATAACTACTGTTTATCAAGACTGACAAACACATTTGTTGTCAAATATATACTGTATCTCTCACTTTTACTGAGCATTACCCCTAAATGTTTCCTCCTGAGAAGTGCCTGTGATTCACTTTCTGTTTGATACAAGCGTTTGTCCAGATCTGTCCCTTTGGGCCAAGTAAACACACAAAATGATCTGTCAGCTCTGATCTTGTGATTCTGACGGTTAAAACCATGTGGCAGCGTTGGGAAAGCAGCTCTGTTTAGTGGGAGTGGGGCAGAGTGCTTCTTGTCATAAACAATAACCACATTTTATTGTACTGCTGTTCACCGTGTAACTCAGGATCAGGCTCCACCCACTTCCACTGACTCTGGAGATGTGTTGTTGTTGTCAAAGTATGAAGTTGTAAACAAATATGATCATAACAGGCTGTCTTCATCT